GGTCTGCCCAGGCTTTAGGTACCTGAAGGACGCCCTCCCCTTGGTACATACTTTCGAAGCGTATGTCCTTTTCCTCCGGTGCGACAGAACCCGGCGATTCAACTGGTATGTCCTCCGCCATTAGGACCTGGTCGTTCGGTTCTCCGATCTCGAGCCCAGTTCGAATTCAGCCTTCTTGTAATACCATTGAAGATTAATTATTATATATTATATTCTATATTTATATAACAAAATATATTTAATTAATAGACTAGACTATTTGCTAGACCAGCTTGGCCAGAGACCTTTTGACAATTGGCCAGCAAATTTTAGTAAATCAATGAATTGCATTCAATCTTTATCAACTACGAGATATTTTATCATCATTCGCTAAAAGATAACTTTCTGACAATATATGATAAATCGCACACATTTATTAGAATAACAAAAGTGAATAACATATACGGAGAACTCGCTATTTATTTTAAATACAGCTGAGAAGAAATATTTATATGCAAAGAAGAAAAAAAATATTAGAATAAAAAAAGAATGTGTTGATAATATGATGAGAATGTTAAACAGGTTTATGATAATATGATGAAAATGTTAAATAGATTTATGATAATATGATGAAAATGTTAAATAGATTTATGATAATATGATGAGAAAGTTAAATACATTTATGATTAAAATAGGGATTATTTCTTAATTATCTTAAAAAATAGATTTATAATTAAAATAGGGGATTATTTCCTAATTATCTTAAAAAATAGATTTATGATTAAAATAGGGGATTATTTCCTAATTATTTTAAAGATTTCATATTCGGAAACAAAGAATTTTTGATTTCTTGTGACCCGGCTCTCGTAATCGTCTCGCTGAGAACTACAGCTATCGGGCTGACTAAAATTACCACGCATCCAAAGATCTTTATCGCCAAAACAAGGACCGTAACTTTCGTCATTCAAAGTGATAGCATACTTATCATTACTAACATTACTAATCTTTGCATCTTCTAATCGATCTCTATTTCCAAATGAGAACAGAAAACTTTCACCGGTTTCCAAATGTCCTGTACCAACTCTCCATTCTATAGGATTATACCCACCAATAATTTCAGAAGAATCAGCAATCTTCATTACAACTAAAGTAGGACCTTGATTATCACATCGTTGATGAAAATTTTGTGAATCGAAACCATCACGAGTTCCACGAATTAATAATTTAAATTCATAAGGAATTTCAGTACTGTTAAAATTAAAAACATTACTCCTATCAATCCATTGAGTAATTCTTAACTTTTGTTGATGGGTTATTAAAACAGAATTATTTCTTGGTAAATCTGTGCCCAATTTGGGTTTACTACCAAGTTTTAAATGACATCTAACAATATCATCTTCTAATTCTTCAGATAGAATTGCTCTAAACGGCCAAACTTTATCATATATATCATTACTAGATATTTGAGAAAATCTAATTAAAGGTAAACAATTGGAAAGAGTTGAAGCTAAAGCATTAAATTCTTCAGAAGTCCAATAACGAATATCTGTAAATGGTAAACTAGAATTAATTTGAGCAATTCCCCATTTGACGACTTGATCCCAAACTTCATCCTCTGTCATATCCAAATGATCAAGGTTAAGTATTGATAATAATAAAGATTCATCGATTGTTAAGAAATCGGAAGATTTAAATAATAATTCGGGATTAGAATGAATTGTAGTTAATATGAATTCTCTTAGATTTGTACAAGAAGCATGTAATATTGTCGCCTGATAAATATTTATGATATAAGAATGTAACCATTCTGTTTTTATTTTTATTAAATGATCTTGAATAAACTCCAATAGATTCGTGAGCAATAATTCATCTGCGGCTGATAATATTTCTAGCACTTCCATTATGCTCATATCATCTAACGTAATAGTTCCACTATATATATAACTAATAAAAAGTATATGGGTTATGTTAATAATATTTTATTGTAATTTTTTTTGATCAAGGATACAAAAATGTTAAAGGTGATAAAACTTACTTAAGAATTATTTCGAAAATCTTTGGAGTAATATTAGGTTGTTTTAAGATGTTGGAATCACCTTCTTTTTTAGCCCATTGTTTGGATAAAGCAGTTTTATAGTAATTACATCTAGCCTTTAAAATCAACGAATGAGCTCGAAATGTTTTCATGTTTTCGTCTTTTCCAACATGAATTGTCACATTATATTCATCATTATCAGTTAATAAGGTTGAAATTTCATGAGAGTAAACAGATAATAGTTTGGACGACATTTTTTTTTTATGTAAATTATTAATGATCGTTTGTGATGAAAAAAAAAAATGAACGTCAGAGAAAAAGGAGTGTCACAAATATATATATATATAAACATATTTTATACCTTTGATGATCAAAACAGGGTCAATCATTTACAGCAAATTTATTTAAGCGTAAATTTCTGCAAGCTTTGCGCTCGTAAGTCCATTTCTTTCGATCTTCCTTGACATAACTCGCGTAACAAGGGTATGATGACGTCTTATTTGTGCAAGCATACTTTATTCACTGTATTTTTTTTTTTTTATTACAATAGTATCCTTTGAGCTTTGACCTGTATATTCGGACTACAAGCTACGTACGTAATTAGTTTATTAAATTATATCTTAGTATCTTAGTATACTTATTACGTTGCACACATTATTTTTTTAAAAACATTTGAAGCCAAGATAAATTCCATAACATGAAATTTTGAAAAAGACCCGGTCAACCGCTTTTTAGAAAAAAAGGATTTTATTTTAATCCGGCCTGATTATTAAAAACCAATCAATTGATTGTAAGACTAATTATGTCAATTTCTTTTTAGATCCTCCTCATATTTTTCTTATTTTGAATGTTATATATCGGTGATGTTTTGCTTATTTTTTTTTGTCATTTTGCTCTACTAACGCTAATCAATTCCTCTTTTTATTATATATTAAATCAGGCCCCGATCACCTTTCATTTTGAAATTTTGTCACCTATCATTGCCTTTTTTCTTGATCTTTGAGTTGATCATATTGTGATTCATATAGAATTTGCCTACACGTGTCAAAACTAGAGATGGGTTTCATGCGCTTTTATCCCATCTAAATTTTATATAGGAAAATTGAAGTATATTTAATTTAGGCCAAGGTGTATAATGCCAGGCAAAATTAAGAAATAGTAATGCAGAAGTTTTGAAAAATTCTGAAAAGAAAATGAATGAAAAATTATATCATGCGATATCATGCGCATTTTATATAACGTGCGCATTATTGCGCATTCATGCGCATGTTATTATAAAATGCGCATTTTTCCCATCTCTAGTCAAAACAGTATCACAAGAAAATAGACATCATATGAATTCTTTATTACGTGGAATTATTTGAATAACGCATTACATGAATAATTCAGGGGATTAAATTATAATGTTACTTACACATTACGATGCTACCTCTAGAATAAGCTTGGGCGTGACAGACGCAAGTCGCTTTATAATAGAGGATATCTAACTAAGAAGATTATTTCTCTCAATGAGGTTTCAAATTTAAAATTAGAGAAATCTTATATTATTTTTTTCATTTATAATTCAAAATAATAAAAATTTTATTGAAAAAATCCTAATTATTTTCGAAATTCGTACTTATTTATTAATTTCGAAACCCAAAACAATGTAAGATCTGTTTAAAATATGGAAATGAAAATAAAACCCAAATTAAAATATCATAATTGAGATTTTAAGTATAAGAAATAATCTCCCGTAGAATTTCATAAGAATATTTTCAAAAAGAGAACAAGACAGAAAAAAGGAAATTAATTTTCACAAAGAGTAAAAATTACTATAAATGCACGTTACAGTGATTAAACTCTCTAACATTCCTACACTCACATTTCTTAGTTTTACTTCGGGTTTTGCGACAAATGAGAAGCCCTTTTTTCGTTTGGGATAAACAAAGATAAACACAGTATCAAATATTTGACAAATGAGACCTAGTAAAAATAAGAGCAAAAATAATTAAAATGCTGTAAACGAATGCAAATTTAAAACTACAATAGGCCAAAGAAAAAAATCACCGAATGAAAGATTCAAAATCGTTGTGCAGATCCATGGATCAAAGCTTCGATGAAAAAAAAACTTTCTCTTTAGAATTTAATAACATAGCTTCATTATATTACTACAATTACTAGGATATATTTGTATATATGTCAGCATAATTCTGCAACATGAATCATTAGAAATATACTAACGCTAATCGCAGAAATAGAAAATTGCATACCAAAACAGTTTATCCAAATTCATTGTGATAACGTTATAAACAAAGTTATATTAACTATTTCACAAAATTTACGTAATTGTTCGGAAGCGAAGCAGAGGTATCTGATATAGGTTTTTTCATTATTGCAGTCTTCGCCATATTTATAACTAAAATCTTCTTGATCTCATAAGTAAATTTCAAGATTAAACGATATTAAATATAATTATTTAAATTCAAATGCTTGAACGAAATATCTTACAGTATTATGAAAGAATACGCTTCAAAGAATGTGGGAGACGCCCAAAGCTTTTTTGAAACGTCGCAATATTAAAAATCATCCAAAAGCATATAATTACATGTAAAATTAGGTTAACCATTTTTATTAATAAATTATTAATTCAAGTAAAAATTATTTCTTTTTATGTAACATATCCAATATTTGTCCAAAACGTGCAGCATATCAGGTGGATCTAATGTGAAACGGATGGATTAGCGTCAGAGATAGTGATATTAAAGGAGTCGAATACATACGTACTCAAAATATTTAACAAAAAAAGTCTGGTACTGTACACCATCACGGAAAATAAGCACCTTGTTTAAAAACGTTGGTTTTTTTTTTTACATAAGTTCAATTGTACGTGAGAAAAAAAAACATCGATATTGTTGAAATATATGACGAAAGCACATGATACTCTGGGGCTTAAACCTCGTATGGGAACAAACGTGATTAGTAAAACTAATTTTTACTACTATTATTAAACATAAGGTTAAAAACATAACGATATAATGATTAAAGTTAAAATTAATTACCTTAATTACTTAATATATAGTGCAATTTTAATTAAGCCGTAAAAAATTAATTTTAGTTAAATTTTTGAAAAATAATATATATATATCGATATATAGTTTTTTACATTACTGCATTACAAGTATTACAGTATTACAGTATTACGAGTTTATCAAAAATTAAAATTATCCAATAAAACTTAATTAATGTCAGTGGTTTGTTCACGGGATCCGATGCTGGGAATAAAATGATTATGTTATTTATCAATTACATCATGCATAAATCTGACAAAAAGTTTCGTCATCAATTCTTGAAAAAAAATTTTTTTTTTATATTTATATCCTTAAAAATAAAATAAATACTCATGCTTTGTTGTTTTTTTTTATTTACCATCTCTTTTCGACTTTCTTCATATATAATCATCTCTATTAATTTCTTTCATTACACGTTAATCATCATGTCAAAATTAGAAAGTATTAATATTAAAGAAGCTAGAAACCTTTTAAATCATTATGGTCTTCCTTGTGATGGTACTGAAGAAGAAATAAAAAAACAACTTGAAGTTTTAGAATTTCCAACCGACGAAAATATACGTTCTGATGAAGAAGATATTATTGAAAGTAAATATGATCAAAGGGATGATTACGCTCATGATACTCATGATGTAGAAATTGATTCGGAATTAGAAGAAAGTGAACCTCGTGAACATGATACTGATACTGATAGAGATACGTTCGTTTATAAAACGAGGTGGAGTGATGATCCTTCTTCTTCTAAAAATATTGATAATAGTTCAATGGAAACTATTAAAGACGTTGAAACTACGAACGACGTTATTTCAAATGATGGTTCTGATGATTACGATCTTCCTAAAAGTCGAAAAGAATTTCCAAGTGAAGATGAAAGAACTGATAGTGTTTTAGATACTAGTTTACATGATTCTGAAGATGGTTCTGTAACTTCTTCTCCACCAAGATTACAAACTGTAGTACCTCTTAAAGATGATATTAATAATCCTTTGAAACCTCAGGATTCTATCATTAATGTTGGTGATGTATCTTCGTTGAACCTTTCTTCTTTAAATATTAGAGATTCTGAAGAATCAGATCTTGAATCTAATGTTTCCAAAATAGTTAATCCAATTATTAGTTGTATTGCTGATCTCAAATCTGATATTCACGCTGAAGTTGAAAAACTTCATTATCGTGTGGATCCAAATCTCCTTGGTTCAACTAAAGGTTCTGATGACTGGCAACAATCTGGATTTGAAAAATCTCTTGATCAAAATCGTTATGATTCTGTTATTACGGCTGGAAAATTATTGGATCTTGTTTTAACCTTTTCTCTTCCTGATGAAGTTAATGAACGTATCTCTCAAGCTCGTCATATTCTTTGGGAAAAAGCTTTATTATATCGTCTTACTTCTTCTACTGAATCATCATCGTCTCCTGCACTTCCTGAACAAGGCACTTCTGTGGATTCCGCTGTTGATCATGTTAATAAAATTATCAATAGAAATAATGATGAACAAATTACCTCAGGACAATACGTATCAACACAAGAAGATATTGATGTGAATCAAGTCTTACCAAACGATGAAATAATTGAAAATCTTCCTGATTCAACTAAAGTAGAAGAAATCGGTGATCGATCACCTGTCTCAAATGGAATGACAAAATCTCGTCGTTTGCCAAATCAAAATCACCGTAGATCTAATAGAGCAAGACGTAGATCAACTAGTGTACAACTTGATAATGCAACTGGTAGTGGATCAAGACCTTTGCAAGAATCTTCTTCTTCTCGTGATGTTGAACGACAAGATGATATTCGCCTTTCAACGAGCCCAAAGGCACCATATAGGCCACGTTCAAGTAATGGTAGAAATAACACTAATATCCCAACAAATAATCGTCGCTTTGTTGGATTCTTACCTTCTAGATGCTTTACATGTGGAGGTATTGGTCATTTTGCAAATAATTGCCCTAACAAGGGTAGTTATATTACTACTTTGTCACCTCAACAACCAGTACGTCGACGACGTTCCACTCGATTCAAACGAAATACCAAAGTTGATGCTAGTGGTGAACAATAAAATATGGGATGTGTTATGTGATGATGCTTATTTGAACTTATGATTTGTGATTTGGATAAAAATTCGGTGGGATGAATTTAATGCTTTATATTATAGCATCGTAATCGACATTTATGCTTTGGTATTTTTTTTTTTTTTTATTGCTCTTTAGTTTTACTTTGTTTACATTTCAAACTTGTACATGACATTCTTACAATGCATTTAAAAAAAAATTTTTTTTTTTAATATTCTAATAGAATCAGATTTGATTCGAATCCCCTTTTTTTTATCCTTTAATTCATTTTATCATTAGCAAAAAAAAGTTATCTAACTGCAAATTACATTAGACTTTCAAGTACAATGTAAATGTTCACTTTTTTTTTCTACATATAAAGTTGTTGAGGCTATGAACATTCATGACTTGTGAAAATTAAAAAAGTACTGGTGTACGATTTGAAGTGACAAATAAATTTCGTTTATGATGATAAACGTTTACATTTTATTTACAATGGAAATTATGTTATTATAAGGTCAATTATCGATTAAATATATATATATATCTTGATTTGTCATTGTTTAAAAAAACAATTTTGTATATAATTGTACACTAAAAAATCTTAAATACAATGTATAAATAATCCGAGTTTACATATAAATTAATGTATGTGATGTAATTAAACATTGAAGTGTAATTAATATAAGTGGATCGAATTTGATATTAATGGTTTTAATTTGCAAATAACGAGAGATTTTCTTTTTAGAAACGCAAAGGGATATAATATCACAACAACCACATACTCGATTATACTGTGTATATTACAATAATTTTTAATTTACTCAGATTGTTGCTAGTGATCAAATGAAAGATATGCCTTCATCTTTTTAATATTTTTGATTGGTTATACTGTACCCGAAAGTTATTTCGTAAAGGGTTTATTTCTCTGACATCTCATTTCACTGATAATATTTTTTTTTATAAATCGCGCTAACTTTTAATTTTAAATTTAACTTTAATGATAGTGTTCAGAATGAATTCCTGTAAAATAATTTTGTGTAAATTAATTAATGACTGTGAGCTGAGTTGCCTTTGAGGTTATTGATGAACGGCACCGAAAATCTTTTACCGATTTAGCTGGCAAGTGTGAAAAATTATAATTTTTTCTCATCTACACTGACTTAATCGATGTTTAATTTCTTATTCAAATAAGAGAAGCTTGTTTCTTATCATTTTTTGTATTTGTGAATTTGATATAGCAGTTGCTTATGCATTTAACTGAAGTATTTATTTAATATACCATACGCAATTGTGCATCACAAATATACGGTAAGTGCGATGCTTAAACAAGTAACTATTCATGCTATCGACTTTTTTCTATTATGTCATAATAATTGTGCTCTATTTCGAGTACTAGGGAATCGCATCCAGGTAGATTATGATTGAGAATGATCTTATTCGGTGAATATTAAGACATAATCTAAATAAGCTTGAGTTTGTTTATAACACTTACGATTGTGTATTTTTTATTTGAATTAAAGTTTCAGTAAGTATATAATATTTAAATAAATTATTCGATTCAGGTGCTTATTATTTTACTGTATTATAATTTATCAAAGCGCGTCGAATCATTATAAATGATCGTAATCCTGCGCGACATCACGTGCTACGCAACTATATCAATACATATTGCATATTATTTATCCAGATACAGTAAACGTATTCTATATAGTTAATTGTATTACAGTTATGCAGAGTTGTAAGGTTTTTTCTTTTGAAAGTCGTAAATTTTACATTAATACGCAACACTTGTATCAAATGGATATAAAATTCTTTGAAGAACTTTCAGATAATTATCTTGAGATTCTTGATGATAAAGAAGATTTTAATACAGTAATTAATGTTGGAAAATCTCCAAACTTAAAAACTTTCCGAGCACATTCAGTAATTTTAAGACATAGGTCCTCATATTTTCGTAATGAATTGGACAATATCAATAAAGATAAGAATAATATTAAAACTATTAATCTAAACAATGTTTCTATTCAACAATTTGAAATTATTATCAAGTAAGTTATTTTATATAATACAGTATATATTGTATTGCAAGAACAATCTAAAATAAATTTAAATTATTTATACAAAGGTATATATACGGAGGTGTAGTCTTACTTGAAAAATGTGATGCATCATTTATTTTTGAGCTTATGATTACTGCATGTGAACTTCTTTTTGAAAAATTGGCCAAATATCTTGAAACCCATTTAGTCGGAAAAGAAGCTCATTGGCTTCGTTTACATTTTACTAAGATTTATCAAAAATGTTTTCAAAATGATAAGCTTCAAGAATTACAAAAATGGTGCAATGATTTTTTGGTAAAGTATCCTGATAAGCTTTTTGACTCTGAAGACTTTCTTTCAATTCAAGAAAATGCTTTAGTCTCACTTATTGGTCGGGATGATTTACAAATGGATGAAGTAAAAATTTGGAATCGTGTTCTCGATTGGGGAATAGCTCAAAATCCTGGTCTACCTGTTGATCCTGAAGATTGGTCTCTTGAAAATTTTCTGGCTTTAAAGACTACTTTAAAAAATTGCTTACCTCTTATCCGTTATTTTCAAATGTCTAATGAAGATGTTATAAATAATGTTCAACCATATCAACAAATTCTTGAAAAAAACCTTCGGAAAGATATAATGAAAAAATTTATGGCCTCAAATCAACCTATATCTTCAAAAATTCTTCCACCTCGTATAGTTTTAACACAAACATTACCAACCAGGACTACTGGATTTTCAACTGTCATTAGTGATGAACATGCAGCTGAGATTGCTTCGTGGGCTGGTATAAATCCTTTTCCTTATTCTGTAACGGATAAATTTAAATTACTTATTCGTGGAACAAGAGATGGTTTTGCTCTTAATTCGTTTTGGAATTTATGTGATAAAAAGGAAAATGTAGTTTTAATTATGAAGGTTAAAGGAACTGATGAAATTCTTGGTGGATATAATCCTATAGGGTGGAATAGCTCAGTCTTCGATGATTATATAGATTGCAATAAGAGCTTCATTTTTTCATTGAAAAATGGTACTATTGAAAATTCTATTTTAAGTCGTGTAATAGTGAACAAATATGCAATTTACAAACATCATAACTTTGGTCTAGGTCTAGGTTTTGGTGGTGGTTGTGACCTTTACATATCAGATAATTCTAATCAAAATAATAATTCTTATTGTAATCCATCATCTTATGAAAAGCGAATTAGAGATTCACCTACGTGTGATGCAGATGGTGCATCATATTTTTCAATTGAGGAATATGAAATATTTCAAATTAGTAAAAAACTCTAAAAGTCAAAATAAATATTTTATCAACATTAACCTATTTTCTATATTGTGCTTTTCTCAACATCTTAAAAATATAATTATTAATAATACGGCAACTATTGTAAATCTTAAGTATTCCTTAGCAGTGATGTTTATTTCTCGACGATGAATAATAAATGTTACAAATTTTGATTATTAATAACAAGGTAAAAAATGTCATCAGTTGCTCTATACATTTCTAGGAAAGCAGGAACAATTGTAAATCAGAATTGTTGTAAGTCGGATCAAAATTATTGAGACTACTGTACATATTTGATATGAAAATTAATAATGTATAATTGCGTGTAAACAGTTATCTTCATATTTACTACTATGTTATCGGCAGTCAATTGTGGAGTGACAATAATACCAATGATTGTATATCATAATAACCTTTATATAGTAGAATTTGTGATATTATAGAGCTCCTAATGATAATTGTACAGTATAGTACAAATCATCGAATAGCATCCAAATCAATGCGAATTAAGTAAGAAATATAGAATAGTAAAATGTTATGAACATGAATAAAAAGTATTTTGTAAAAAAAATATTAAGTTTTGAAACAAGATCGAGCGAAGCGAGGCCGAAAGCTATAGAAAACAACTTGTTACTGTAATAACGTTATGATGCAAAAAATGTAGAACTGGGGTTTGAAAAGAGCCG